ATAAATACTAAAACTTTTGTGTCTTACAAAATTTTGATTTAGGTACCCGTTTTCATGAAATTTGGCATTAAAAAATTCAAACGGCCGCCATTTTTAGATTTGGAAAGTTAAAATAATAATTTTTTTTATAAATGTTACTTACTACATTGTAAACAATTTTGCCAAGTTTCGTAAAAATGTCTCAAAGGGATTTTGAAATAATAAATATTTTCCCCAAAAAACAAAATGGCGGATTACGGCTAAACTAAGCCGAAATCCAAAAAAATTTATTCTTCATTTTTGACTTATTTTTGCATGTAGAATTAGGTCCTATATAGCCCATCACACTTTTTTGTGACACCCTGTATATATAAAACAAAGTCGTGTTAGTTACACCACTTTATAGCTAAAGAACGGCTGGACCGATTTTAATGATTTTTGATTCGTCGGATTCCTATTTGTCTTGATTAACATATGCGTATTCAGTATTAGCCCCACTGTCCTGTAAAGCTTTTATGTTAAGCCATAGACAAAATTGTTAGGAGCTGATAGAATGTAAATAAATAAATATATTAATCTGAAGACAGCTGTAAATACTTTAATTTGATAGTTCAAAGAGCAGAGGTTAAGAGGTACAGGTTCTGCTCCCAAGATTCTTAAGTTTTGTAGACTTCTCATCCCATTGTAAATTTTGAAGCTCGTTTTTCGTGTCTAGTTCATGTACGCCACACTGGGCGCTAGTGTCGACGACATTTTGTTTCTATTATTTTTGGATTAATTTCTTGATTTGTGCTTTACTGTTTGGTTAAATAACTAGGGGACAATTTATTTTTTATGATTAGATCGTATTAAATGACTGTATTAACGGGAAACAAATTGTAAACAAAACACGACCTCTACATAGACCTCTACATAAACCGTACAGAACTAACAATAAAATTGTCTTCAGCTGTTCCATTAGGATGAGAAATCATGTTTTATCTATGGTTTTATGATTATGACTATTATGAGAATACTGTATGTTTATTGGTACCTATATGTTTTATGGAAACAGAAGGATCTTTATAATGTATAAATGTTTTGTATTTATTTTGGTACCGGCAGCTATTTGTTAACAAATTTTAACTGATTACACCGTGTCTGGATTAAAATTTTAACTATAGCAGATGGTTGTTTTTTTTTAACTAAATGAAAATTTATATTTCTATACATTTAGGTGACTATTGACACTATTGTTTGTTTTCATTCAATTTATTTACAAACTAAATTTCAATTATACCACCATTTTTTGTCCAGGTAGCCCAAACTTATATTTTCATCTATTATTTACTAAGGATAAAAAAATACTTGAAATCCACTATTTGTATGCTATTGTAAAATCTAAAGCCTTTTTAATCTGTATTTCATGAGTGGTTCCGATTGAGTGACCTGATTGTGAAATACTTAATTTCACATAAGTTAAACCTTACATTACCATAGTTTTTTTCACAATTAGAGAAAATGTGTTGTTATGTTTTTCTACAACACTGCTTTGATTTTAATATGGAGAATATTACAAAACTAAGCTGTACGCTGTGCTGTACGCAATTCACTTTTGCTTCTAAAATCAATTAAATATTTGTATCTATATTCCTTTACTCAATGGTTAGCGTGTATATTATAATGTATATACAATGGACTAAGGAACATGTAAAAATAAGAACTGGTATGTATTATATGTAGTTGATTTCTTATTATACTTTTATTTTTATTACTCATTATTAACTTTTTATTTTTATTATTATAATTTGAGTGGTATTATACAAATTGATAAAATTTGTGCCCTGATTGACGATAATAGGGGTTGGCTTTCTTAAAATATGTAATACAAGTTTTCCGTTATTTTATTTTTGCTTACTGTGATATTTATATAATGAGCTGCAGGTAATGATTCCTGACAAAAGTTCAGTAGGTAGGGTACAACATAGGCCTATCTATTTTATGTGAAATCATTATAAATAGTTTTTTGCTTTAAAACAGTACCCTATGTTGTGCAATTATTTTTCACCCATCAACTTTTAATATGCATTTTTTTCAAATAAGTAAACTTTTAAGTAATCGTATCATTTGAAAGTAAAATCGTATGTTACAGAATTTGCATACATGCATCAGCGCCTTTTACCAGTTTTACTAGGTAGCCTTATAAGTTAGCCTAGCTTGAAAGAAATATATTTTCACCAACTAAGAGGTCCAATGAAATTTTGTTCCTGGAATCAAAGGTGAGTTTTTAACTATTTTATAAACAGATTAAAACATCATAAAACAAGATTTTCTCTACAGTGTCCTCTCTGTTGCAAAACACGGGTACAGCAGCTAGTATAAAATATATTTTGATAAACTGTTTAGTCTCTTATAACGATAAACTGAAAGTTAAACATTCTTCAACTGAAGGAACAGCTGTTAAATTACGTGTACTAGGGGACTGAGCTTTGCTCATCAGTGTTTGATTTGCTTAGGAGGTTAGCAATATAATTAATTTTCATTGACCATTTTCATAGGTACCTACTGTAAACGGTGAACGGGCTATCGGTAACAATGTATTCTTACTGGCCGTGCAATAAACACAATAAAAACATGATATTATAATATACTGTCTAATATATGTCATAGAACGAATTTGATTAAAATATTTTATTATACTCAAGTAGTGGTGTTATTTATTCTAAATCTTATTTACAATTTTGTCATCCTATGTCACTGTAATCCATTTCAAATAAACTTGTATTAATTTCACAGTACAAAAATAGATACAAATAGGTAACAGCATTTGAAACCCGCCTACCATAAAAAAAAGAGTTTGCAAAATAGCTCAATTTTTATATGCACCAGTGTATTTCTACGTCGATGGTGTTAAAAAAAAGGTATTTAAAAGTAAAACTTGTAATTACTAAGCCATTTAGGCGTTTGATTGTTGTTTGATTTGATCTGTTGACCACCATTGTTGTGACGTGAGTGACTGGGGTCGCGGAACATCGCAACAACAGGATCGTAGAACAACGAGGAAATCGTTGGAGCCGATTTATAAATCATTGTGTGCAATGTATAGGATTCACGTTAAACCGGTAAAAAGTGAACTGGTCCAGTATCACTGGATCTTTAAAAATTAACTCTAGAAATTAATCAAACTTAAAAGGGGAGGAGCCCTAAAATAAATCACCTTTCGTGTTACCAATCGTGAATTTGATTGATCATAAACTTTAAAATAATACATCAATAGTAAAAATCGGTTTAGTAGTGTTGTTAGAAAAGGAATGTAACAAGGAAACTTCTTACTGTATTAAATATTAGTTGGCTAACATTAAACCCATGTATTTTATCCTTATTGTTTACACCAGTCATGAAAGACAAAGTTAACACAGTGTACTCAATGTTCTGGTACATTAATCAAATATTGCAACACATTGGTGCAGTCAGAAATAACTCAGTTTGGCTCACACCATCACGCCCCCTGATTACAAGTTGCCAAACTCACTTTGTTTATACCATCACCATCACAATGTAAACATATCACAAACCTTGCAAAGGTTACCCTAGAACCATATGATCAGTTATCAACACATTTTCCAATACTCTGAAAATAACTACAAATACCCCCGCCGCAGCAAACCTGCAGACTAAGCAAATTTCAACTTTTCTGTTTACATTTTTACTAAAATATTTCCATAAATATGACATATTTTATTTCCAATTTAAATAACATTAGATTTAACGAGTGCTTAGGTTTGCTGCTACGGGGAAGGTCAAAAGTGTTTTTGACCATACGTCCATAGTATAGGATGAAATAAATAAATTGCCAAATGTTATCAATAAAATAGCAACCCCTATTGAGTGACCCCTCATTTTGAAGGATTTGTCAAAAGAAACACAATTAAGCAAACCCGAGGGTGATATCTCACCCCAAGCCAAAATAGCAGGTATTCCAAAATTTGATTTACTGTATGTGAAAAGGCACCAATTTCACAAATAATGGAAAGAAATCTGTATTATAGAAATATTCTGTTTGTAGAATTGATTGTTAACATAGCTTCTGCAATTTTTTACATCAACAGTATTATTTCAACCCCTTTAGCAGGGTAAGTGGTAGGGGTGACATATTTTTTCCAATAACAACCCCTATTGAGTGACCCCTCATTTTGTTTGTTAAAAGAAAATCAATGACGCAAACCCGAGGTAGATATTTCACCCCTAGCCTAAATGGCGGGTATTCCAAATTTTATTTTGGTAAAAAAACACCCATTTTGGAATATCTGCCATTTTGGCTAGGGGTGAGACATTCGCCTCGAATTTGCGTCATTGTGTTTCTTTTGACAAACCCTTCAAAAAGAGGGGTCACTCAATAGGGGTTGCTATTTGAAAAAAATAAGTCACCCCCTACCCCCTACCCTGTTAGTGGGTTTAAAAAATATGTTTGATGTAAAAAATTGCGGAACATTTGTTAACAATTATTGCCACAAACAGAATATTTCAATCTATTTCGGTTTTAACAATACAGATTTGTTTCAATACTTAATTTACACACTGTATATATAACAGTACAAAAATTGCAATGTTAATTTTTGAAGAGTCAAAATAAAATAAAATTAACCCATAACACCTCCTTTCTCCACATAGATGATTTAAAAATCTATGGTGTTTTTGGCTTCTAAGGATCCCAAAAAAAGTTTTACATTATTCCTAACATGATTACTACAGTATGTAGTGGCTTCTTTCTTATAGAGGGACATTCCTAAAAAGACCTTTTTCTTTGTGAATCATAATTATATAGAATTGTTTAAAATTAAATTTCCAAAGATTTTATAAAACTAAACTAGATTTGATTGGGAAAGATAAATAAAATTAAGATAATTTTATATTTTTACTATGCATAATTGATAATAAATTACAGTTATTTACAAATAAATTAAATAAATAATTATATTAAATATTATACTAACAACTAAATAAATAAAACTAAAATGAATAAGAAGTACAGAAATGACTTTAACTAAATGTGTCAAGAGTAAATACAATTCATTATAATGATAAGTTAAAACGGTTTTATCTGTACAGTGGGAGTAAACATGAGCTTCAGTAGTTTTTAATATTGACAATGGTTGAAATATTTATAAAAACTATAAATGCACTATTGTAAATTTGATATTCTAAACCATTTAAGGTTATTCCAGAGGTGCAGCAACATTACATTGATCAAACAAAGTACCGTATTATAACCTATCACATTGCCGTAACACTACTGTTAACCCCCTTAACGGGGACTTTACTATTAACTCCATTTACTGGGACATTACTACTGACTTTCTTACTCGGGACATTACTATTGCTTACCTTCAAAGGAACGCTACTACCTTCCTTTACTGGGGTATTACTATTACTTCCTTTTAAAGGAACTTTACTGTTACCCTTTGTTGGGACATTAGTATTAGCTCCTTTTTTTGGTGCATTACCATTAGTACCTCCCTTTACATTGGGATTACTATTACCCTCCCTAGGTGGGACAATAACATCAACTCCTTTTGTTGGAACACTACTACTGCCTCCTTTCAATGGGACATCTGTCAGACTGCTGTTGCCCCCCACCTCAACATGACGCAGAGGTCCGCCCCAGTTCTTGTACTGATGACATCGTGGCAAGTCAAGCGGGGGCCTCTTCATCTGCCATCTCTCACCTACCTGGATGATGGCTGACATGCCAGCCGTCAGGTGGTATGAGAAGTGGCAGTGGTAAAGCCAGTAGCCTGTGGAAAAGTTTCAATTGTTCAAATTATCAAACCATCTAACTACTGTCATAATAATTGAGCGGAGCGAGCGAAGCGAGCGAAGCTCTTATACGTCGACTCTTATGCATTTCGTAATACGCAAACTCCTCCTAGACGGTTGAATCAATCGTTTTCAAATTTTGCATGGTGATAAATACCATACCGGTGAGTGCCAACATCTATATGGCGTTAAAAAAGTCCCTCAGGAATCCGCCCCACTGGGTCTCAAAGTTTCAATGTAATCCTTATGGAAGCAATATTTGACACATAAACAAAAACATATGATCAGCTGTTGACTTTTAAATGTAGTAAATAAAGAAATAGCTGATAGCATTATTCCACAGATATTAGAACAGAAACGGTATGGATCATAAATATAATCAAATGACGACACTAGCTTGAGGTCCGTGACGTAGGAAGTGGTGAAGGAAGTAGTAAAGGTGAGCAGTCTGGAGTGTGGAAACTGTTTATGACGATTAGATTAAGGTATCTGCATTCCTAAAATTCTATGGAAAGGGAGGAAAACAGGTCCGTGGCATAGGAAGTGGTGAAGGAAGTAGTCAAGGTGAGCTATCCGGAGTGTGGGAACCGTTTATGACGATTAGATTAAGGTATCTGCAATCCTAAAATGCTATTGGAAGGGATGGAAACAGGTCCGCGACGTAGGAAGTGCCGACGAAGTGGTGAAGTAATTAGTAAAGGCGAGCTGTTCGGGGTGTGGGATCTGTTTATGACCATTATATTAAGGTATTTGCAATCCTATGATGGTATGGGAAGGGAGGAAAACAGGTCCGTGACGTAGGAAGTGGTAAAGGAAGTAGTCAAGGCGAGCTGTCCGGAGTGTGGAATTTGTTTATGACGATTAGTTTAAGGTATCTGCAATTCTAAAATGCTATGGAAAGGGAGGGAAAGAGGTCCGTGACGTAGGGGGTGGTGAAGGAAGTAGTAAAGGCGAGCAGTCCGGAGTGTGGGAACTGTTAATGAAGATTAGATTAATGGATCTGCAATCCTAAAATGCTATGGGAAGGGAGGAAAACAGGTCCGCGACTTTGGAAGGGGTGAAGGAAGTAGTCAAGGCGAGTAGTCCGGAGTGTGGGAACTGTTTATGGCGATTATATAAGGGTATTGGCAATACTAAAATGCTATGGGAAGGGAGGGAAACAGGTCCGTGACGTAGGAAGTGGTAAAGGAAGTAGTCAAGGCGAGCTGTCTGGAGTGTGGGAACTGTTTATGACGATTAGATTATGGTATTTGCAATCCTAAAATGCTATGGGATGGGAGGAAAACAGGTCCACGACGTTGGAAGGGGTGAAGGAAGTAGTCAAGGCGAGTAGTATGGAGTTTGGGAACTGTTAATGACGATTAGATTAAGGGATCTGCAATCCTAAAATGCTATGGGAAGGAAGGAAAACAGGTCCGGGACGTAGGAAGTGGTGAAGGAGGTAGTAAGGTGAGTAGTGTGGAGTGTGGAAACTGGAAACCGTTTGTAGCAGTTAGATTAATGTATCTGCAATGCTGAAATGCTATGAGAAGGGGTGGAAGCATGCCCACGACATAGGAAATGGTGAAAGAAGTTGTAAAGGCTAGCAGTGCGGAGTGTGGGGAATGTTTGTGGCAATTAGATTAACGTATCTAAAATACTAAAATGCTATGGAAAGTGATGAAAACAGGTCCACGACGTAGGAAGTGGCCTAGGAAGTAGCAAAGTATGATCACAGTGTGAGAACCATCTGTGGCAGTTAGATTTAATGTATCTTCAATCCTAAAATGCTATGAAAGGGAAGGAAACATGTCTATGACGTAGGATATGGTGAAGGAAGTAGTAAGGCCAGCAGTGCAGAGTGTGGGAACTGTCTTTAGCAAATACATTAACGTATCTGCAATCCTAAAAAGCTATGGGAAGAGAGGGAAACAGGTCCACGACGTAGGGGGTGGTGAAGGAAGTAGTAAAGGTGAGCAGTGTTGAGTGTGGGAATGGATTAATGTATCTGCAATGGTAAAATGCTATGGGAAGAGACTGTAGACTGTAGGTTAAAATGATTACGAAGCACGAATCTATACATATTTTCGATACATTCAATCGTTTACAATCGAAATTTCCAACTGAGTTGACAACAGCTGATGTTCATTCCATAGAGGCTAAAAGCAATTTATACTCCCTAAAGAGTAAAAATGCTCCTTTAGACCCTCAACGCATTCAACGATTGTTTTTACTGCAGTATGACAAAAACAATATAATATAAACCCTTGATGACTCCGCTCAATTTTGTGGATGCCTCTGCGAATGCCACCTAGTAGAGTTAATCAGTTTTTCTCTTGTATGATAGTTGATAGTCATCTTACATTGGCAGAGGGTAAATAAAATACAGTATGGCTAATGACACTTGAAACAAATTTACTCTTGTATACTATTAACAAGACGGTAAATGGTACATATAAAAGATGGTAATGGTGATCGATTTTGATTGTACACTCCAATCATCGTCAGGCCCAATAGGCGAATGACAAGAATCGTGAATGGCATTGCTACTTATATCCTATTGGCTACCGGAAATACCGGCCAAGGAGTTTCTATAAGTAGGCCTAAGTACAACTGGAATCCAAATATAATTATTCATTAATCAGCTTATTTCCTTTTTTACATTTGTTTGCTATTTTTTGTTTTTTTATTCATTGTTATTTCTACATGGTTAACATTTTAAAATTGAAATAAGCTAAATTTTGACTCCAGTTGTACATATAGAAACATTTTGCCCGGAACTTCCGGTAGCCAATCCTTCTGTAGTAGGGGCGCCCTAGAGGTTCTTGTCATTCATCTATTGGGTCTGATGATAGTTGGAGTGTACCATCATTCAAAATCGATCACCATGCACTTACCATATTTTATACCAAGTGTCTCAAAAGTCCCACCCCTCTGTTGTTATTACTTTTATTAATAGAGATAAAATTATAAAATTCAGGGAATGTTTATATGGTCAAAAATGAATGTTTTGGTATATGTAAATTTTCACCCACTCCCCCCAAAAGGGGTAGTTTGAGGGAAGATGAAATTTCCAAATGTAAATGAGTTATAAATAATTGTAAAGGTCATAAAAAAAGAAAAAGAATGGCGCAAACTAGAGATCTCTACGTCAACTCTATCAAAAGTGATGGCAGTTAAATATTTTATTTTAGTCACAATACAAATAAAAACTTATTTGTGTAAATATATGAAATACCCCCCGCAGCAAACCTGCAGACTAAGCGAATTTCAACTTGTCTGATTACATATTTACTCAAATATTTCCATAAATAAGACATATTTATTTCCAACGAGTGTACATGTTGCTCGAATTCGAGCAATTGCAAAGTATTACAGGAGTTATTTCAAAACGAATAACAGTCATATTTACAATGAGTTTAAAAGAGTCAACTCAAAGATTACCGCGGTGTGTAACTCAGACCATGTTTATCTTCGTTATTGAAAAACCTAAAGCATTCCGTCCGGTTTTCTCCTTCTCAAAATGCCTCGCTGTACAGGCAACACAGGTCAATTGAGAACGAATAGTGGGCCAATTGAGAACGAAAAGTCGTTTTGGGGTAGTGTTAGGGCGCATTTGTAGCCTAATAGTTGAGATTGTCCTGGGTCAGGTGCTGACTGTGATAAGTTAAGCCTATTTTACGCGCCACTATGTGTAGCTGCGGTCGTTATCACGATTACGCCTCCTGTCAGTCCTGGCTATGTTTCGTTGTCGTCGCGTCGGAGGAATTTAAAAGAAAAAACAACAAATAAACAAATTATAGCTACACAAAACAACGATAAATGCACAAATTTAAGTTACAATCATGCCAACACGATCCGTCATAGCGACACAAAACAACGATAATTACACAAATTTAAGGTACAACCATACTAACGCGATCCGTCTTGAAGGTTATGTTTACACAAACTCAAATAGTAAATAAATGTACTTAATGCGTTTCATTGAATTGAAAAATAAATAACAGCAATTAAATTATACAGCTGATCAAAATGTAAACAATTATGTTCTTCATAAGGATAACATGGGAACTTTCAAAGCCATTGGGGCAGAGCCCAAGGGACTTTTTCAAAAATGTAAGGCCAGTTTGCAAATATACGCGACACGCTCTTTCCAATGAGACGTCAATGGTTAAAATTGGTTAAGAAATGGCAGAGGAGTTCAACCGACAAAGTTTCATGTAGCGTATTAATTATATAGAATTAAATAACATTAGATTTAATGAGTGCTTAGGTTTGCTGCTACAGGGAAGGTAAACAGTGTTTTTTGACCAAACGTCAATAGTATAGAATGAAATAAATAAATTTGCCAAATTTGATCAACATAATATATCCATAAACAAGTAAACTACAACAGTTTTCATTTTCTTCATAAGACTAACATGGGAATTTTAAATTTGCACTTTTTTTAATTTTCTCCGTAACCATTAGGCATACAACAATGCTTCAATGTACTAAATTATTTATTTTTTAAGCTCTACAAAATGGTTGGGAAAGAAATTCCAAAATTGTATGGGAAAACCCATTAAAACCCCCATAAAACCCCCCATAAACCCGGGTTCCCATGGTTCGATCATGCTGGTTCGTGAACTCGTTCGAATAAATGTAGGTTTACATGTTTATATATATATATATATATATATATATATATTATATATATATAGCTATATATCCTATATATATCCTATATCCTATATATATATATATAGGATTATATATATATAGCCTAGATGGGTTCATATATATAGCCTATGAATTCGAACGGATGGTATTTTTGGTCTCTAGGGACCTCAAAACGAAAAATTAAATCGGTCCCGGATCCAGGTCTTACCATGAGTACTACGGTAATAGCTTATCCCCTATACGCCACTCATCCTACACTCCCCAAGTAGCAAAAATCGTTGGCAAATCGTTGGCCCAACGTTTCTGTTGATCGTTGGCCAACGGTATGTTTTGGCACTAAGTCTTACGGTTGGCCAACCAACCAATTTTTGCGGAAGGGCCAACCATCCCATTGGGCCCAAACATAAAAAACACAGAATAATACAGATTTAGTATGAAAAGCATAATTATCAGTTGAGTAAATTGATTAAATAGTTCATAAAAACTAATTTTGAAAAAAAAACAAGACAAAATTATTTGGCCGTGCAAATGTAAAAAAAATTTTTACAATATCTTGCTTCTTTTTAAATGCAGGGATATAATGCACCACTGTCTGAAAAACTCGCAAGGGGTACGATTATCTCAGTTCGATATCTGAAGAAGAAGATGGTAGTACTGTATATACCGAATGTCACCATTTGTGACAAATAAAGAGCAATAAATGAATCAATGATGAGAAGTTATATGGTGAAATCGACGAAAACTCCTAATCGTTTTCTCAGGCGAAATACATAATAAGGCCATGTAGGCCTACATCTGTCCAATTATCATCTTTCGTTTGCATAGGGGGTCTTAGTCTCTTTGCCCCTTATTGGATAAACCTCTGGATGATTACCATGGAATAAACCACTATCTAATAATTCATAATCCATTTAACGGAGAGAATCTATAGATAAAACCGTATACGGTTTTACCAAATTTAGTAAAATTTCCCAACTTTAAAAATCGATTGTCGGTATTGATGAATTAAAAAACATCCTACACAGAATTTTGTGTTCTTCAACTAACTACAGGTACATTTTTGTTAGCATGCGTCGTTTTGGAGTTGTAAGCCAAAAACTAATCAAATAATCAACCTTTGGCCATGTTGATGAAATAGCCATCTTTGAAAAGCTGCCAAAAAGCTCAGTCGATTTCAACTTATTTAACACCAATCAAGGCAAAATTTGATGCACTAAAAGAAACCTTCAGACAACAATTTCCGTAGGATTCATCATTCAGGAGTTAAGCAAAAAACTGAAAAGAGTGCAAAATGTTCATAGTTTTGGACTCCCAAAACTTAAGCAGATTTCAGAATCCATCGCAAACTCAGAGGACTCTTATTTGGTACCTCCAAAAGGTGTTAAAACATGTTCCAGCTTTAGAAGATTTTTTGGAGAGCACTCCCTATATTTGATCTAATTTGCCTGGACTATTTACTTAAACACAAGCATAATTAAAATAACATGAAACAGAACGATGAAAGGAACTAAAATAAGGTAATTTGTCCTTAAATAGAGCCGGAAGAAAGAAAATGATTTATTACGGGTATACCTGTAATGAGCTATATCCTAAAACAAGCCTACATAATTAATTTTATTTTGAATACTTAAACAAGGTACTTTTGCAATCACTAAGATTAGGCTAAGACATAGCCTCAATCTCTCATGGTACAGAGCTGACAGTTTACCTCAGTTTATCTAAATATGGCAGATTGAGTTGAGATTAGCTGAGAAAAGGATCCAGAATTTAGAGTGAGAAGTAAGATCCAATCTCGCAAGCCACTCTGCACTGTGATTGGTTCAAAATGATGTCATCTGTATTTCGTGCCAACCAAAACGAATTTTGAGTTTCAAATTTGGAAATTTTGTGCCTTTTATTTCCAAATGAGTCACTCAACTAGTGACTACCAAATCACTTCTCAACTGTTGAATTTAAAAAATACCAAATCCTGTTGGTTGAGTTGAGTGTTGCCGATTGACTCAACTGTCAACCATTTCAAAAATAGGGCCCCAGATGTTTCTTTTATTACTGGATTGTTGGATCCATCACCTGGATTATCAGCAAGCACTCTGACAACTGCATATCCTGTGGCAGGAACAGTGACAGTATCCTTGGCAGGAAGATGATCCCTGATCTTCCTCGGACCCTTGAGTCTCTCCTGCAGGATCTTCAGTCCCTTGGGATAAGGCTCAGAGTAGACTCCTTGCTCCAGGATGTAGAAGTCATGGCCGTGGATGTGGAACGGATGGGTGATTCCGGCAATACTTGGGGCAGCTAAAAAATATGAGTATTTTAATTTTGCTTTTAACCAAACTTTGATGAACAAGGTGATAGTGGTGAATTGGTATCTCGATGCACTACAAATCCATGACAATGATGTTGTGGGTTTGATCCCGGTATTAATGACCAACATTTTTATCAGTATGGTTCACTCTGGCACTGTATTGGCTCATGACTCATCAATTTGCTTGATATATTCCGTGCACAGACTAGAGGCCCATGGTGACGACTAATGATCAAATGAAAGGTCAAAAGAAGCTGGCTCCCACTTAAAACACCAACAAACAAACAAGCATATGGAATGAAAACATGTTCTATAAAGTTTATTTATATCCCAGTACCTGTAGTTGTTTATGGACAAAAATTACTGTTCACTTTTCAAACAAAAATTACAAAATAATCTCAAAACTTTTAAGTCTTTAAATAGTTACTTAAAATCTTTCCAAAAGTCGTTTTCAAATGATTTATGACAGTTTAAGTACACTTTGTTGCAAAAATGCATATAACAGGGCCTTTTCCATGAATTGAAAGAAAGACCTTTTTATAGAATGGGTGGAAAAGGCTGTATAGCCATTACAATTTTTTATTCCAAAACCTGACCAGTTACTTACAAGTGTCAGCAATGATGATTTCTACAACAGCCCCGAGGGGAACTTTGATCAGATTGAGGCACTCGCAGATCTCTTCCTTGCAGCCTCCAGGAGAACAGAACAGTTCTGGTGGAATATCCGATATCTGTGTCAGTAGAGGGGAGGGCGGCACAACGTTGGACACATTGTTGATAAGGGCAGCCATGTGCTGATTAAACAACGGGACTGGAACTGAACAAGATATTTAAATTAGAAATAATAGCAATAATTGTCTTTGTGATGAGAATTTCCCAAACACATTTCATAACCAAATCCACACAAGAGCTGACTGTTTTAGATAAATATGTTGTTATATAATAAAGAAATTTACTGACAAGATAATGTCAAATCTGGCTGATCCATTGAAGAAAAGTGACGCTAAGGATAAACTGTACATTTACGACAGCATATGAGGTATTCATAAAATAGAGCTGTCCATAAACTAAGGTCTCCACTTAGTTAGCAACCAAACAAGGTAGCTTGTAATCGACACAATTATATGCCCTGTTCTTGCCCTCATCCTCTACTATTCTAGCAGGTTACCACTCCTATGTGAAGATTAGTCTCTTTATAGTATCTGATAATGCTGTGAAGGAAAAAATCCCCCTGTGAATAAATTGTGCTATGTAGGTTTCTGTGGTTTGAACTGAAGTGTCATTCCTTTCTAAATCCATTGCTAGTTGATGGGCATGATTGCGAATTGACAGCAAATCAGAGCAAACCGGCAAAGAGGAATACAAGGAAAACAGTTATTATCTTATAGAAGCAAAATTTTCTGAGACAAATTAGGTATTTAAGTTTTCAAATCTCATACCGAAATATTTGTGGTATGTGTTGGACTCAAACAGTTCCTGTATCGTGTAGGTGTGGAAACCAAATGCCATTGTCAGTCTAATGTCAGGCTTGCTGCGTAGAACTGCTTTTGGAGTGCTGGCCTTGGCTTGCAGCTGACTCACACATACTCCCTTCTCTAGTGAATGCTCTGTACACTTGGAGTTACGAGGGTTCATTGTCTGAAACAAGTATTAATAATGAATACTTTTAAACAACGAATTTAAACTGTTCCTAGGAATGCAGAATACCATTATTTTGTTATGATATATTTGCTACCATTGTTGTCAGACCCTTTTGCATTTCACTTTTTTAGGACTCCTTGATTATCAAGCGTTTAAAATGTTCCTTAAGAATTTGCAGATCTTGGTCCCCAATTTTTGCAGGGGATTTCTTATTTTAAGAGGATTAATTTATTATAAGATTCCCCAGAATCTTGCAGACTCCTATTGGGTCGTCTCCCTGAAGAAGTAGTGTATCACTGAATCATGTTTTAAAATTATGTTAAAGCCCAGTAACTGTGTACCAAGTTTTAAAGCCCTGTATTTATTACTTTTTGAAATATTTAACCGTCCCGGGACTTTTTTCCACCCTCTATACATTAATAAATTGTTTTGTGGCTCTAAAATTTATACCATTATTTATTTTTATTAAGTGCAGGCATTAATCATAAACATTTAAATATCAACTTAAACAACACAAAATAAAATATTGGAATTGGAAGTACAATATTATATTTAGAAACTAACAATATGCTTTTATTAGTCATAGCCATAGTCAAGAATCTTTATTCATACGTATACATGGTTGTACATGAATAGTGTCAAATAAATTAAAAACTAATGCTTAAGACTAAGATAAAGCCATTTTTAATTTATTTATAGAGTATAAGGACAGGTCCATCAAATATTCCGTGAGGGATTTTTATTAAAAATATTCAGTTTTTGTTCTGTTTTAATTTTTAAAGTAATACATTTTTAAAATTCATATCTTGCATTGACAGTCTTTTTTTTAAGAGCTCTAATTAGTCCCTTCCCTTTGACACACCCTCTCAGCACCCTCTCTCTCACCCTCCCCCAGCTATCACTCTTGCTTTCTCACCCCTCCTCCAACCAACCTAGAACTGAGAGGTCAAACGACTGTGATTTAAGAGGATTTTGATCTGGAACATAGCCATACACCCATACGTACGTAGCCAGTGTTGAAGCCCAGCAGGGCATCCCAGTGAGGCAGTGTAGGTTTGGAAGTGTGAGCTCCTTCGTATTGCAACACTGCAGCTTGTGACGCAGCTGTACAGCCACCCATCCCTCTCACTAGGATCCAGTAGGAGGCAGCTACCTGGGTAGTCTCTATCACCACATCGTACCTCTCACCTGCAAAGTAATAAACTAAATAATAAAGAAAATCACTATTTTATGTAAGGTGTAATAGAGTATCAAATTTGTTGTTTGATGATTTTCTGCCAATATTTTCCATCACTAAAATGGCAATCAAAGAAAAAAAATGCAACAAAGCTCTGGGCGAAGATAGGATCACAGCAGAGTTATGAAAGAAATGGAAAATTTGTTAAAAAAAATTGCCTTAAACTAAATATTGATAAAACCCAAGGTATCAAATTTTCAGGCAGAAATGAAAGAGCATTAAATAGTTTTTTTTTTCAATCTATATAAATAAAATTAGAGTTTTGTCTGTACTATGCTCAGAATTATATACTTTTAGGTTATTTTTACGTTTTATACATTAAAGAAGCAGAAACGAGTCTTATCTCTATTTCTGTCTGTCTGTCTGTCTGTCTGTCTTTCCCTTTGTCTGTAACACTCAAGATGGCATTTTACGCAATCTTCTCCGTGAAAACCAGAGTACCTATCAAGATCCAAGTCATTTTAATGTATTCACTGGATTGGCGAGAGTGTCTTTAGTGATTTAAATATAGCCTCACTACTTTGTAAATAAAATTACGGACGTTCAAAAATGCAGTTTTGTGCGATTTTTGTCAAATTTTCGTTCAATTTTTATCACATAATCGTCTATGAAATAACGAACAGCTGTTCGGATCAAGATTATTTTTTCTAGCTGTCAATGATATGTTTACAAATGTTGTTTACAAATACCGCAACCATTTCGAATCACGTTTTGAAAGCAAATCCCAACCAAGTGAGATTAAAAACGTTTTTCTTACATATTTAATTAATCGCAAGTGCAATAATATAGTCTAATAGTGTAACCGTAAATGAAATTAAATAACTAGACATCGTCCAAATCGGAACCAGAAATTCTTTGAGTATAAAATGTTTCTTGAGTTTTGACAACCAGAAAGAAGACCTTGGATCAGTGTTGTATAGGGCTGGGACACTGAAATGATCGTCGCCAATAGCTTACAAAAAAGGTTTCCACTCATTGACGGCGCTTCAATGGCGGTTGTGTAAAGTTATAAGTAAAAAATCACAACTGCAGTGGGTGATTGTAATAGAGGTTTAACAGAGGAAGTGCTAAACTCGCTTTTCCAATGTGTCACTTTCTGTTTCTACTCACCGTGTGATGCAATCGCTGGACCATACAGCCAATAGGCCCATAGCTCATATCTTGGGTACGTAAGCCTACATATTTATTCATAACAACCTTTTTGACGACGATCCTTGATACAGGTACTTTTCCATAGAATACATGGCCTACCTACTTAAGAAATGTAATTACAAATGACCAAAACCCCAACATTGTGTGATTTTCGTCACATTTCCTTCTAATGTTAATAGATATACTAATCATTGTTTAGAGAATGCGTAATCTATTAAATAACAAAAAGTTGTTTGGGTAAGGTTGTTTTTTTTTCAAACTGACACCGATAAGTTTACGCTATAACTTTTTACGAGAAAATCCAAAAGCAAGAGATCAATAACCTCGGGACTAGATATTAATGTATTTAATTGGTCGGATGTACTACAGTTCTTAGGTAGGTTCTTACGTAGGTACTGGTTCTTTTCCTTAGAACCGTTGGTAGCTGCTAGAATCATTTTTACGTAGGTACCAACACATCACTGTAGTTTACAAATTAGTTATCGTTGGTATTGCACCTTATTTATTAGAGCCGTCCTTATTCAATTTAAGTGATGTCTTAACTCTGTATAAGTTTTGCTTTTTCTGTCTGGATTCCAAATCTTAGCTTACCCGGTATGCTAAGAAAATGATAACCTATTTGAGTAAAACATTTGTTGGGCAAACCATCATGAATTGTTTACGCCTTTATATTGTTTATGTATCAATAGTTCGTGGCCTTTTTTGGATTGTTGTGTGTATGTCTGTTGGTAACGCATTAATGTCCTTATTTCTCAGTGTTTCACGGAATGGACAAGAGCACCTTTGATACTGAAAATGTCAACCGGAATAAAGTGTTATATGGTGAGGTTGAGGTAGTACTTTAAATACGTTTAAGTTAACCGATGTGGAAAGTAACTTTCAATTAGGCCTACTTTAGGGCTACGCTTCATGGATCTATAAAACATTTTTTAGTTTAATCATTGGACATATGGACCATGACGATCCGGGTAACATTTAATTGCGAAGCATTTATTTTGGCTTGAACTGTCAGATACTGTATTTGCGAAGGTTTATATAATAATTTTGCCAGCATATCAGCAAATATTCAAACTAACTGCTGTTCTTAATCTATATAAATAAATCTTAATATAAGAAGGTTTCAACTGACTACTATAAGATCCCCGTGCGTAGAACGGGCACACAGCTAGTTTAGTCTATTTAAATAAATCCCTAGGTATTCATCTAGATGAAAATACTACCTGGAAGGTGCATCTAGATGTATACAGAAAAAAATTAGATACGCATCATCTGTCTTTGTCAACTTGAGAGAATGTGTCACCATTGAAGTACTTAAAATGGTTTATCATGCGTATGTAGAATCCATCTTGAGATATGGTGTGATTTTGTGGGGACAGGCAACTGATGCAAAAACTATTTTTAGACTTCAGAAATGAATCATTCGAATTATGACTAATTCCCACCCCAGAAGCCCTTGTGAATCTGAGTTCTGAAAAAACCTTAACAAACAAGCCCGTATAACGCCATATCACCCAAAAAGCAATGGGTTGGACGGTGTGTTTGGACATTCAAAGAATGCATGTTTGCACAAAAGCTTAAAAGTATCCTGTTTGCGTACAGAACATCTCCAAAGAGATCAACCAGCCTTTATGATGTTTAGTAGTGAATTACAAACAAAGCTGGACCTACTTATCTCAGACGTAGATTCTAAATTAGATGAAGTATAGATTCTTTAATACTTTTACTTTTATACTTTTCTTTGAAATGGCGACCATACAAAGTAGGTATTTTAAGCCAAGTATGAATGGAGATGAGTGTATGATGAGTGGCACGATCTTGTAGTCTTGTTAGTGACCGACATATTCCTTAGACACAGCTGTTAATGAATAGCCCATACAGCTAATGACGACTAAGGGACCTACAGTTTATAGTGGAATCCGAACCACTTTTTTCCTTGGTATATACGAATTGGTCTAATTATCAGGATAGTACTACGGATAGTCGTAGTACTCACCCGTGCGGACGTTAATCCACACCAGGGAGTATCGCATCCACAGTGCATGCCTATAAATATCCACAATTCTAAATTAGATCAAGTTAGACAACGTTTGGACAAGCATGAATCAAAATTAAAAGTATTATAAGAGAATGACAATGTTTGGATTTTAAATAGATCAGGATCAAGTTTCAGGATCAAGATAGTGAGAATAAATGGGCCCTATTCATATCTTGTCAACATTCATGGTACGAACAGAAGATTCCATCCAGGTCATTTGCGAATGGCAGCCAGCTCTTAGAAGAAGGGGGATATGCAATGTACCAGCTGGTGTTTTATTGTCAAACTAGGTGAAACCCGTCGAAATCGACGGTTACTTTCAATGCTTACTAATTCAACTAACTGTGATAAATTGAGTGAAATAATACATATTTTGAGCATTTAGCATTGTTTAAAGATTAATAAGTGTAAAACAATAATGATATTAATTGCCTTAGTTACCAAATATAGTTGATCATTCAATGAATAAAATATTTCCCATACTGTACGTCATCGGAGTTGTTAGTATGCTATCTGGTATCTCTTCCTTTGGAAGAACCTTTAAATAGTATTAAAATCGTATTGGTGGATCTTTTGTAGTTAAACACTTCCGTGATTTTATCAGTGTAATGCAGATTAATCTACGATTTTATTTAAAAAAATATATCCGTTTGTTGGGAAGAGACGTTCTAACTTCAAAGAGAGGTATATCCGTTACATTGTAAGTTTGATTTTTCCTTCGTCACGTCGCGTCAGTTCATATCGTACTTCTGTGCCAATGAATAACCCTCTAGCACAGTTTTGAGAAATAAATTGGTTGTGAGGTTACTGTTAAAGCTGGAATTCCTTGACATGGGGGAAGTCAGTTAGTTGGCTCAGCCTTATCAATTACATAACATTGTCAATATAATCTCTCTACAGAATGTTAGGTGTAGTGAAATATAACTTACTTGAAGTGAAGTTGGCTTTTATTCTTGAACTTTAGGGGCCTCCTCATTTATATGGTCGTGCGGCTTCATTGGCAACAAATAATGCAAATGACATAGGAATGTGGCATTTCCAAAAAGCAAAAAATAATGTAAATTGACTGTTACGTAAATATTGATGTTTATGCATTGTTAATCAACGTATTTTATGAAGGATAAAGTGATCTAGTTTAAAAGGAATATGACCTTTCTGTCATGACAGTAGCTATTTGCTTATTGGGACATTTTTTACAGCCAAAATAATGTGTTATTTTCAATAATGTTACCAACCCAGTGGGCCACGGTCCGTAATATAGGCCACTGCAAATAATTTGTCAAGATAGGTACCATTTTAGGCAAGGTTTCTGTGTTTGGATGCTATTAGACACGGTAAGAGCACAATAAAATTCTTCTGCAGGTGAATAATTTGTTGGACAAATATAAGCCGAATTATAAATGTCACAATGCGAGTTTGAGCATTTTGTAACTATATGGGTAAGTTACATCGATTTTTTTAGGCTGCTGCTCAGTGCTCACTTTAAAAATATATATTTTATAGATAAATTAAATGGTTTTTGTTGCTGAGTAGCGCTAGTAAACATGCACATCCCTTTTTCGTTAGTCTAATAACATTCAAAGGCTCTCTAAGAGTTCAAGTTCTTATTTGTATACATATCTATAGGCTATTATGTTTTCACTAAGCTGAATGAATACATCGAAGTAACCTCTCTGAAGAGTCTGCAGTATATTGCAGTTTTCCAGCTTAATGACTTTCTAAATCATGCACATATTTCTAAATAAACATTGTAAAATGTTTTATCCAGTTTGCTGTAAACTACTATTAATTTAACAAAATATGGACACGGCTCAAATGGGCACCGTGCCTTTCTGCACTTGTACCGTATTATTTTGTATTGTATTACACAATCGAAGATTTTTCCAATGATTGAAAACATGTATGTCAATGATCTCATGAACCTATGATGATCTGTCTAGAATAATATGATAAAATATAGGGAAAATGTGTGAAAAAGGCAGACACCAACCCGTAAAATAGATACCTATAAGATAGGTAGTTCAATAAGAAATAATCGTAAGAGTTACTGTGATAAAAGGATTTTCCACTGATTTCGTAATGGAACGTTATATTGCAAAACATAACATAATACGGAAGAAAGTCAATTTTAAAATCAGAAAATAACATTGCAAATACTTCTTTTGGACAATTCAGTAACTCCCAATAAAAATGTGTGTTGTTTTTGTTCAAAATACAATTTTAAAATTAACAGCTGTTTCATTAAAAAAAATATTATCCACATGGCCAAAATGTAAACAAATATGTGGAGGGATCTTTAAAGGCTTCTGGGGCAGAGCCCTAAGCGAATTTACTTTGTTTTTCTTTTGATAACGCATCTACAGACCAAGACCTTTCTTTGGACACCTCTACTAATTTTCTACGCCCATCAGTTCTCTCAAATTAGTGGAGACAATGTTTCCAATTAAATATTCAGATTCCCCATGTTAATCTTATGGGAGGAACCCCAACTTTGATGGAAGATACTGCCCAAACTAATAAAGATATCAAAAAACTAAAAAGACTTTGCAAAACTACAGATCAGGGCCATTTTTTTGACCCTTTAATCATCAAAATCGGTCCAAAAATGAGGGAGGAGTTCTGTTCACAAAAATCGGCTTAGCGTATTATATGTATAGATGTTTTTAATATTAATTATTGTTCATAGGTTTTAAGTTTATTTGTTTTGTTTACTCAACTTAAATACACATCTATTAGTATAATAAACCTCAACATTACAACCAGGGGCCCATTTCAAAATAAAGTACAAACTATTATTAGTAAATCAGCTGATCGCCCAATGCAAATCTAATGGAAATTACAAGTTACAGGGGCCCATTTCATAATAAAGTACAAACTAATATTATTAGTAAATCAGCTGATTGCCCAATGCAAATCTAATGGAAATTACAAGTTACAAGTTGTAACTTGTAGCTTATTATGAAATGGGCCCCAGGTTGTAACTTGTAACTTGTAGTTTATTATGAAATGGGCCCCAGGGTCTAGCTAAAGTTACCAGTTAGTTAGGGGGTAGGTGTAACTTACCAGCTGACATGACGATGGAGTCCACAACCCGAGGTTCAATGGGCATGTCATCAACACTGATTACCTTCAATTTGTGTTCCTGAAATCAGAGATTAATATATCAGATGTTAACAAATAATCATCCACTTACCAGTTAGTAGTTAGATATTTATTGAGTTACTAAAAGAAATAGTTTTTTGTCACTAAGCCTTTTTTAGATTTGATTGCTTTAAATATATAAACTCTTGCCATAGCATATTTTTTTAATTTTTTTTTTAAATTTTGGGCAAAAATTTTACTCCAATAGAAAAGTATTCTGGTACCTAAAGAGATTATTATTATTAAATATATATCGAGAACCTGTTTTGTGGCTCAAGTGAATAAATTAAAATATGAGGCAGATGAAAATGTTTTCTAGCAATAATAAACTATCCAATATACCACAAACGTGTTGATGTAACTAGTCATTTGATCAACAGTGCAAAATAAATTAATGCTTTAGAAAAATATTTTTCATAATATATAAAAAATATTGGTTTTTCTCTTCCGAGTTGGTTCGGTTCTTCTAGTGCCACCATAGATTTTCAAAGTTTTGGTCTTAAATTAAAGGTATGCACACACAGGGTTGTCCTCAAGCATGGGCATTAATTTATTTCATTTTTACAATATCCTATATTTTGGTCAAAGAACCTTCAGTAAAATACAAGATTTCATTTGAGCTATTGGTTATTAAGATCAGACTTACCTGAAGCCCGCGGCTGAATCTCGAATGAACAATAATAATAATTGTAATTAATTATTTTATTTTTTTTTAGTTATTTTATATGTCTTGGTCTTAAAATCCTCCTAGAAATAAATGCTTTCATTTGAGATACTGATTTTTTGAATGAGTTAAGTTCGATATACTGTATTACTCAATAAAAAAACATATTTCAATGCTGCGGAGCACGTGAAAACATATTTCACAGGGTCCTATAGTCATTTTTTTTAATATTTACGTAGTAAACCACCAAATATAGCCAATATGTTGTTTTGAAGAATTTGATGGTTATTGTTTTGTTTTCTTAATTTTTTCTAATACATTGATTTTATAAAGGAACTAGCTGTTTTGCCTGTGCTTCGCTTGGGTGAACTTTTAAATTGGAAAATCAATTTATCACCTTCTGATATAGCTGTAAATGACCATTATTAGCAATTGAGATGGAGAGACCATCCTAGGGATCATAATCAGATGATGGAAATAAACTACCAAATTGAATTGATTACTTGTCCAATGACTTAGGCAATAAGCAAGATGCTGCTTTCAACTATTTTTGTGTGTGTCCAAAACAAAGTCATCTGGAAAGCACTGTGGTATTTCCTTGATTTATACAGACAAACTTTCACCCTCAAGGGTGATCACTAACGATGAGGACATTAGGGAGGTTAAGACAATAACCCGCTCCCATCACTCATCCTCTCTGCTTCACTTTTTTATTTGATCACAGACATTGGCCATAAACCATTTCACAACCACAGTTAAAATCTAAGGCTTACCTTACAATCCTATTTTTTTTATAGTAGAGACCTAGGTTTCTACATCAAACCTAAATGGATTTTTACAACGAAAAATCTTTATATTTCAGCTATTTCTTATTCGATCTTTTTGAACTTGATATCGTTTGATAGATAATTAAAAATGCTAAATAAAAGTATGCATGACATTTTTCATAAAATCTGCCATTTTTGAGTAATTTTAGTTTAGAATTTTTAAAAGGTCGCCAATTTGAAATTTTAGGTTGAACCGAGATGAATTTTTTTTCAAACGGGTCTCTTCTACCTTAATATTCATACCAAGTTTCAAAAAGATCATGAAAATAATAAAAAATACAAAATGGTGGATATCTGGATGATTTTGGAAAAAATGTTACAGTATTCTTGATTTTCTCTTTAATTTGACCCAAGGAATCACTGAGTAAAATATGTCCCCACCGTTTTTGAACACCCATATTACACTTATAATGTTGACTCACATGAGGGTAAATACATATAAAAGATGGCAAGTGGTGATCGATTGTCAAGATGGTGGACACTCCAATCATCATCAGACCCAATAGGTTAAACATGTTTCAAGTTCAAGTGTTATTACATGTACTTTGATTTACTTTCTGGAAATTCAATAACACGTCATATTGCATGCTGATAAAGAAAATATTCATGAATTTGAATATTACATTAGGACTATTGGGAGGTATATGGACGTTTTCAGATATGCTAGAAAATTTGGCTAAAAAGTTTGTAGTTGAAAAGATATTTAAAACTTAGCAAAAATACCTGTATAGTGATGCGGAACGGACAAGCAAGACAGGATCCACTGACAATACGGAAGCGATATCTGTGACCATGCTTCACTTTGAACTCTGAGAGAGGACTCTTGTCTGGGCCATACAAGTCATAGAGACCTCTCTGAAACCCAAAATATAGTAATTAACAATATCTGTGACCATGCTTCACTTTGAACTCTGAGAGAGGACTCTTGTCTGGGCCATACCCCTAGTGGAAGAGATCAATATATATCAAGACAAAAATTGTATATTGATATCAATACGTATTTGGGCCAATACACATACATATCAATACAATTAAAAAGGATCCGAGTCATTAGCTTTATTTGAAAATAATTTGTAGCTTGTTAAAAAAACAATTTTTAATTTGTTTCAACACATTGAATCATATCAACTATTCACTAAAAATAAAATAAAAATGAAAAAGTAAAAATATTCTTGGCAGAAAGTTCACAGTGTTCCCGAGTTTTGAACCAGGGACTCCAGCATAGAAGCCGGATGTCTTAGCCATTACACCACGGACGCTTCATGTTTGAGTGTGTAAAGATAGCCATTTTGAATGTGAGAAGCTGTATTAGGCCTCATAATTTAACTTGAAAAAGATTTTTCAATGGCATTTGTGTCATTTCAAGCATGTATATGCTTTAACATGTTTCAAAACTGTTTTATTACCAGTTCTAACAGTTTTCTTGCTACTTTCGGTGATATGAATAGTGTCAAATACAATTTATTTTTATTGATTTCTAGAAATAAGGAATTCAATAATGAATTTGTGAGTGATGTTTATCCCTAACGATAACCCAATAAGCAAAAAAAATGTAAAAGTTGTCGAAAGCTGTATTACAATTGTTGTATAACAATTTTAAAACATTTTGATTTTTAAACTTCATATTACAACAATTTTGATATAAGATTGAAACAATTTTAAAATTGTTTAACAATAAGTTTTTTGCATTTGAAAAAATAAGTTTCAATACGAGCTGTAACTGTTTTGCAACATTTTTAAAATTGTTTTACAATCAGTTTTTTGAAGTTTAAGAAAATAAGTTTTAATACAAGTTGTAAACTGTTTTACAACAATTTTAAAGTTGTTTAGCAATCAGTTTTTGGCAGTTAAAAAAATAAGTTTTAATACAAGTTGTTTTACAACAATTTTAAAATTATATATTTTTAAATTATATTGAGTTTTAGGTACCTCAGCTAACGTCTATGACCTAAAACTAGAGTTTTTCCTTTTTTCAAAAATAACATTTTTATTACTGTTTATTTCACAAGTTTACATTGATATTTTGTATAATCCATAATGTTCGTATGCGATACATTTTAGAGATATTTTGCATCTTATTTACCCGTATTGATGTCTATTGATTTATATTGACATCTAACATATTTAAAAAAATATTCTGTATTGATATCAATGAACGATTTGTTTGCTCTAATGATCTATATTGTTATATTTTATGTTTATAGATGTCTAGTGATATGTATTGACTAAGTTTTCAGTGATGTCTATTTGTTTGTATAAACTTGTTAATGATATCCATGAACATTGATATCACTAAGCATCTAGTGATAACAATAGATTTTTTCAATTGATTTCTATTGATGTCTTCCACTAGGGACAAGTCATAGAGACCTCTCTGAAACCCAAAAAATAGTAATTAACAATATCTGTGACCATGCTTCACTTTGAACTCTGAGAGAGGACTCTTGTCTGGGCCATAGACCTCTCTGAATCATGGCTAAACTCTGTTGGTACACTTGAGAAAAAAAGCAATTAAAAACAAAACTGTTTAGGCGCATTAAAATACTATCATTTCATACTTTAACTTACAAAGGAACTTTTAAAAATTTAAATGATTTTTGTTTGATTATTCATGCAAACATTTTACTTTGTTATAATTATTAGTGATGTGTTGGAACCTAAAGGCAATGCTTGGTACCATTGGCTCTTACAAACATCACTTATTAAAACACATAATGAGTAGGCTACAGTAGGTTTACTTTTTTGTTATAGGTGGCAAGGTTACTCGTACCAAGAACTGATTTTTATTAGAGTCTGTTTCTGATATTAAACTTAAAAATGCGATGACACATCACTGATTATTAATTTGTCTAGACTTAATGTTATCTATAATATTAAAACGAAACAGGGTTTTTTATTTCACGATTCTGAATCAACTACTCGACAGATTTTCATGATTTTTGTGTTGAAAGAAAGATAATTTTGAGAACTAGGGAATGTCGAAGCCATAATTTTAGTTTAGGGTCCCAGTTATTTAGAAATTAAGTTTTAATTTTTGAAAAGTCTAGCAGCCGACGCTAAGATTCTAAACTAGCTTTTGGTGTAATATAATTTGTTTAACATAACAGCTGTAAAGATTCAGCGTTTGTAACACGAATTCAGCATTTGGATAAAATTAAAAGACATACTAAGGGTTGACTTATTTATACTATGCGTAATGCTAACCATAACCATTGATACATTCAATCCTTCGATAAGAGGATGACAGATTATTTAAATATACATAGCCCTAGTAGCACAAATATGTATTTTATAAATATTTTATATATTTAAAGTTGTATTTGATAGAACCTCGAATAATATATATATATAATATATCTTTAATAATAGTTTGATATATTCAAATATATATTTAAAATATTACCAAAAAGCAATGCAAAATGTAAATTAAATACAAGTTTTGAATATATAAAATAGATTCATAATATATATTGATAAAACAAGTATAGAATCTATAATATACATATTTTATATTTATATTTTTCCTATTAAATATTTAAAAAAATTGTGTGTTGAGAATATTTTAAATATATATATAAAATATTTTTGAAACTATATTATATATTTAAATTATTTATAAATATATTTTGAAACACGTCAGATATTTTTATTAATAAAATCATATTATATTTGTAGAATATATAGCCTATAATTTTTTATAATTAGCAAATAAATAATTTGCATCTTTTTGTTTTTTATAGTGTCTATCAATTTATACATGCATTTTTTGTATGGTAATTGCTATTGTGAAAGCGTTAAAATTAAGTTAATAATAATACGTACTCTGAATGGTGTCACTCTATCATACACGTAAAGAAAAAAATAGCATATAGTTAAGAGGCAGGATACATGTTCGACAGCTACATTTGGGTCAAACAAAAAAAAGTGTTGATGGGTTTTATTTTTTTAATTGCAATATGTGACGATGAATGTGATCATAGAAATCTCGAATGATTGGCTAGAAAAGGGTGCTAGTGACTGGCGACCTTTTAAGAAACTAATGACGGTTGTATATGATGTTCTAAAAATAATTATTTGATTTACATATGCCATAAATTACATAATATTTGTCATAGTATTTAAATTAATTTTTGTAGTTTACTGTATTTGTATTCGTGGAGACTACTCACTATTCACTACAGCACTATTCAACTCAACTACTTGATGCCAAAACAGATTAACAGAATCATATTAAACTATAGTATCAAAAATATTTCAAGTATTGCAACCATTGCAACTGAGGGCCACTAATTCACCATTTTAAAACTAATTCTAACAACAATCACAAGTAGCTCAGAGGTAAGGTAGGAGACTCACAAGTCGAAGGGCCCAGGTTCGAGACCCACTCGGGCTGAAAAAATTTTATCCAGTATTTTTTTCAAAATTTGTTTTTATGAACTATTTAATCAATTTACTCAACTGATAATTGTGTTTTTCATACTAAATCTTTATTATTTTGTGTTTTTATGTTTAGGCCCCATGGGATGTTTGAAAGAGATATTAAATACATTTTTTATTTAAATATTATTCACTGAAATATATTATTGGAACATATTTTTTTAATATTTAATAGATTCAAAAATATATTTTTTATATATTTAATATATTTTAAATATTATATAAAATTGACATTAATACACACTTGAGATGTATAAAATAGATTTTAAATATATTTATTCATATGTATTTAATATATATTTGTGCTACTAGGGAGGTAAAATACTAGGATGTTCAAAGGATTTTTTAAATAAATCTTTGTAATCTTCGGTTTGTTTTAGTGCAATATAATTTTCTTTTAACTAACAGCTGGTTGGATATAAACATGTTCTGTAGAACCAGTAGAACTTTGAGGTTATTTTATTTACTCTGATTTGTCATTGATTTTTAGGAAATAAGTAAGATTAGTAGACCACCGAGAAAAGTAACACCATCGATGTATACAAGTTGAGGCTCTGTACATAGTCTTAAAAAAAAGATATGCAAATTATTATACTGGTCAACTTTTTTAGGAAAGGGTAGGAAAATCCATTTTTTACACGTTTTAAAAAGTTGTTTGGCATGTGTTTAGTTGTGGTTACATTTGGAGGCACTGAATATTTTATAGTTTAAATAAATGAATATGGGGAATTACGATGTACATTGATTCAATGAGGGTGGTTTAATTATCAAGGATATTAGAACTGATAACGGTATGGATAATAAACATAGACAATTAATTACGTCACTAGCTTTACTAGCGTGTTTATGTTTTAAATTGTGTATAGTATGAGTAATTGTATTGTGGTGATATTGATTAACCCTTAGAGTGCCAGGCGAGAAATAAAAGTAACGCTCAAAAAATGCCGATGATTTTTCCCGAAGGTCGCGCTAAAAATGCCGAGCGCGATCTGGCGATTTTTAGGTTAAAATTTCGTAAAAATTGAATTTTCGATATTTCGACCAACGAAAATCGATGTATCGCATCTAGTAACTTTCGACTCAATGTTAATATATGGGTTAAAAGAATCCGAGTATCCATTCGGTTGTTATGACAACTGTTCGATCATTACGAAACGTCCGGTCAGCCGGACGATGGCACTTTTGGCTCGTTCTAAAAACGTCCGGTCGGCCGGACGTCGGCACTTTTGGCTCGTTTTAAAAACGTCCGGTTCCCCGGAGGTTGGCACTCAAAGGGTTAGGGAAGAGGAAATTATGCGATGGAATTGGAAGGTGATATCGTTGACTAGGCCTTTACACTTCTCAATTGATAATTACTCTTTCTACTGTAGGCTGCAGTAAAATTTGTTTTTATGCAAGTAAGCTAGCTGTTCTGAATTATACACAGTTTTAACTGACTACTCCCGTACGTAGGACGGGCTAACACCTCGTTATTTAATAAAATATTTTGAGTATTTACTCAAAGCCTGCAATTTACAGCTTCAATCATTAAATGTTTATGTTATTGAAATATTAATGGTTGGGGGGGGGGATAAGTAAAACTCAAAACTCTAGACAATAGCCTCCTCCTAGAATCCGTCCTGGAGCCACTCCTGTTTCCATTACAAACTGCATGTACTAACCACAAACACTCCTCTCCCATTGATCAAGTAGGAGTCTGGGTTCTGTCCTGTGAGTTTCTTGATGAGTCCAGGTAGGCCCTCCGCACTCATGGGGTGCATCCAGTCCTGAACAATGACTGTGTGGGACGGAAGGTCAAAGTCATACAGATCCCTCACAGGGTTGTCCTCATCAGGCTGACGGATTACCAAACTGCCCACTATCCCGTCTGCTTTCTGAAGTCCTACAAGTTGAATCATATATATTATTAGTTTGTTAGGCTTTCTAAAGTAAGTTCTGTTCTAAAGTACATCAGGGCCCAAGAAGACTGCACAACTTAATTTCCTTATCACTGGAAAACCGTTGAATCACATTAATTATGTACACATTTTACTCTGTATTCAAGGATGAAGGTGATGTGGAGTGTAATTATCTATGTAACTTTGTTACTCACAGGGGTGCCCAGAGGGGGGGGGGTACTGTGGCGCAAACAGGAATTTTTGGAAGAGGGCTTTTTTTGAGAGGATTTTGGGGGGGATATTTTTTTGCTAGCTGTCATAATGAATATATTATTTTGTATAAGCAGCCCGAAAATGTGTTTCTAAGTAGCTCACTATCAACACCAACAACATTTTGCCATTCGTAATTAAGATAGCTTCTAAGAATGGTTAAAACGCACCTTGTCAGGCAATCCTTAATACCAGTGTCAAATTTTACTTGATGTTTTGGTGGTTTTTTAACTCCACCATCGTCAGGATTTACAAAAGATTCACTTCTGGAGGATCAATTCACGCGTGCACATTGCCGTAGGTTGGCAGGACTGGAAGTAAACTGAATCAGGTTCAGGTTATAACGGACCGACGTGGTCTCTGGATTGTCGTCTGCATTTTCAACAGCTGATATTGGACTATTGTAGTGACTGAGAAGAGTGTTGAAAATATAATGGGATTCAAATTAATTTTATGTATTTGTATATTTCAAACTCCTAAGGCCTATCTGTTATCGTTTTGTGTTTTTTGTACAAACAGATTGTCTGACAAGATGCGTTTCTCCAATTATTAGTCATAAAAGGCAATCCTGGGGCTATCAAAATGAATTATAAGATTACTTCGTCACAAAAACCTTTTGTACTGGTGGCAATTTAGGTATTGTGGGTATTTTGGCCGGCGATTTTTGTAGAAGGCAGCCTGGGAGTGGCGAGCAACAAGTCTGTCTTATTTCATGAGTCTGCCTATAATTTTGAAACATGATACTTTTTGCCAAAGTATTATTAATGCACTTAAAGCTGTTTGAATTCTTAAGCACTGTAAAAATTAACGCCACCTAATATATTATACAGTTACAGTACTGTGTTGGAGTAGAGTAATTCATCGAGTATATTGTTGTACGTTTTGTAGACGTTGTCTATTGCAATACTGAGCACATGTTGGCTGACAATACCGATTCTGAAATGTAAATTGAAAAACTTCTAATTAGTCCATTAGTTATATAATGATGTATTGTTAAATGACGTTTCCTATTAAACGTTGAATTTTGATTATCAGCAAGTTTGTCATTTATTATTAAATTACTCTATTTTGGTTTATTATATTATTCAACAAGGAAATATATTGAATAGGTAATGTTACCTAAGTTGTCTCAAGGTTCAAACATCATACATGATTGGATTATGCTTATTTCTGTGATTCCTTCACTATCAGATCCTTAAATAAGAACTTCTTGTGTAAATAAATAGCTGTATCAGAAGTTCAAAACAAAGCAAATTATAAGAAATGCACATACAACATAAATTGACAGTTTAACACGACAGACCTATTCAAAACTAAACCTGAACTTGGTTGTTAATAAATGATCCAAGGTAAAGGAACAGCTGATCTTAGCTGTGGGCAAAGCTCCACAAGATGTCCTACTCAATTATCAATCTATCCTTCACTCATATTTCTGTTGAAATACCCCCATTGTGTCCCCATCTTAACTATTGATCTAGTAAGATAGAGTGTGGTACCATCATGAGAGTGCCAGAAGTAGGTGCCAGGATGGTCAGCCAGGTAGCGGTACCTGTAGGTCTGACCCTCCAGTATAGGACACTGTGTGACCATCGGCACTCCGTCCATCCACGGGGTGTCTCTCTGCCTGATGCCGTGCCAGTGGATGCTGGTGCTGCTTCCTGGCATCAGGTTGATCACATCTGCGATGATTGTGTCTCCTTGACACACCTGCAAAGAACAAGACTTGGTTGGAGGTTTGAAACTGAGTCAAAATGTGATACTTGAGTATCACAATTGATATCAAAATGATACTACTGCCTGAGATACCCTTGGACTGTAGGAGCTAGAGCTGGACGTTGTAGGACAAATAAATCTATTACTAAAGTACAGTAGACTTCCGATTATCCGAGGTAATTGGGACCGGAACCACCTCGGATATGGGAAAACTCGGATAATACGGAGGTTATATACAGTTATAGTAAAAATTACGTAAAACCCTTTGAAAGTTTACAAAAATGGTTAATTAGAAGAAAGAACATGTAGAACATGTAGAAGGAAGAACATGTGATAGACAAAATTAAATAGGTACCTAAGTTGGTATGAACACAGATAAGTTCTTAAAAAAAGTCTTTCATTGTCTTCTGAGCTAACCTTTTCCCTCGCTTGGATGATGCAATGCTGCGCCAACCCTGTAGAGTAAGTTTTTCGTGTGGCGTACACTCTTCCTGCTGCTCTATGAATGCAAGAGCAGCATCGATCGCCTTCAGCCCGTCGGTGTATGATATTTTGGGAGTTATCTCGTCCAAATTGTCATCGTCTTCGTTGTCCTTATCACCGGTTACCATGTCAATGATTTCCATGGCGGTAATCAACATCTGATCATCTTGATTGCACCAATCGTGAATGTCTTGGCTGTCGATTTGATTTTCAACGGGTAACTCATTGGCTTGTTCAACTAGTTCACTCACCTGCTCAAGTTCTGGCGCTTTTTTTGGTGGTCCATCTATGCCAAATAAATTCTTCCATGACTTTTGAACAGTGGTGGTTTTGACCTCATCCCACGCTGAGGCTATCCAGTACTACAAATCTTTTATTAATGTGACTTTTTTAAGGCCTCCTTAACAGTCATTCCTTAGTCTAACTTTGTAACATCTGAAGAAGCCTTCGCCGGTAGTCCCTCTTCATCGCTTCTAGAACCTGTGGTCCAGCGGTTGTATTAGCAAGGTAACATTAGGAGGTAGAATGATTGCCCTAATATCATCACTGCCCAATTCTTGGGCATCTGGGTGAGATGGCGCATTGTCCAATAGTAGAACTTTCCTGGGAAGCTAATTTTTTTTTTCAAAAACGCTTCAGTGGCAGAGGTACAAATTTGTTGAAAAACCACTCACTAAATATCGGGCTGTCCATCCACGCACTCCTTTGGTTGCAATATTTTGTTGGCAGGCAGTCGACTTTTATACTTTTAAGGGCTCTAGGATTTTTTGCCTTTCCAAGCAGCGGTCTTAGCTTCAATGAGCCAGAAGCATTAGCTGTAGCCAGTATCGTAATGCTCTCCTTTTTAAATCCAGAAGTCGTCCTCTCCGATTTTTCTACCAAAGTCTTTGAAGGCAGCATTCAAAAATTAAGGCCCGTTTCGTCAGAATTGAAAATTTTATCAGATGTCAATGCTTCCTTGAACACAATTTCTTCAATTTTAGTTTGGAATTCTGCGATTTCAGATGTGTCTGCTGATAGTTTCTCCCCACTCATATTAAGTTGCCTTATTCCATACCTCTTCTTCCATCGGTCCAGCCATCCTTCACTCGCCGTAAATTTTTTCTCTCCGTCTTTAAAGTTCTTATGATATTCATGCGCCTTAGCCTGTAGCATTGGCCCACTCACAGGACTGCCCATCCCTCGAAGCTGGGAAAACAACAAAAAAGGGCCTCAGACGTCTGCTTGTAGTTATACCCTTCTTTAAAGTCTTTCGACTAGGAACACCACCTCCATTAACACTTTTGTTAAAATATATTTTGATTTCATCACGTTTTTGTCTCCAATCACCAACTGTCACTTCCCCAACCCCTAAATCAGCAGCCACCTTTTTAAATGACTCGCCAATGTCCAAACATTTAATCGCAATAAATTTTGGTTTCAAGAGAAACTAAACCCTCTTCTGTTTCCCACTCATAGCAACAATAAAAATCAACAACAAACGATAAACAATCGGCAACAGTAAAAGTAAACAATAAACAATCAATTAAAGTGGCAAAAATAAACACACCAACACAACCATGTTTATCACGAGTACGACTAAACTCCAACATAACACCAACCGAGATAAGCGCGAGGTGGTTATGAAAATATGCGGGTTTTGAGTGTACCGATAATTCATAGAATGCTCGACCTAGCAAGAGCCAGTAAAGATCTCAGGCTCTCCTGTAGTTCTTAGAATTTATTGATTATCTGCGTATTAGTGCATTACGGATCCTCGGCTCGACCTAGCAACAGCCAGCAGTGGCGGTTCTAGAACCTTGTCAAGGGGGGGCTTCCCCCGGGAAAATTTGGAATTTTCAAAGCCATTGGGTGACTTTTTAAAGCCATTTTTAACATCTAAAACCGTGCCCAATTGTCCATAAACTCCCATTTCACCTGTTGTTTGTCATGAGCAAATAGACATTTTAAAAACTAAACTATGACGATTGCATTCATGAATTTCAAAACACACTGTAGACTACGGCCATATACTCCTAAAGGCTGTTGGGTGACTTTCTACAGCCAGTTTTAACGTCTAGAACTGTGTGCAAAACCTCCCATTTCCCCATTTATTTGTCATGATAGCCAGTACAGTACAGTAGATAAGTATACTACTCGACCTAGCAACAGCCAGTAGAGACGTCCACTGCTCGACCGCGCTTGTTAAACAATAAACAGTTGTCTTGAAGACCTTTATTTATATTTCTTATTTTTTATGACTGGCTCGGTTAACCGGGAGTTTACTGTATCACCTATTACATTGATAATAGATTACTGAGAATACCGTACCCTATTATTTTTTTAAGTATTTTTGTTCCTATTTTTTCTGAACTGTTAGAACAAGCTAGTGAAATAACACTGATCTTGTCTTTTCATTATTTAATAACAAGCTTCGCGAAATAATATAATGCTTGGTAAAAGTTTACTGAGAATCGTGTTGTCTGAACTTTAAGGACGAGTGAGTGAAACAATGCTGATCGTGTCATCCTATTAATTAATAGCGCTTTTAATTATTAGTTTACTGAGAATCATATTATTTTTGTAAGAATGGACAGGTCCTGAAATTTTAGGAAATTTTAAATCTTGTTCTACGAGACGAGATTATATTTTAGTCGAGATTTTTTCTATACAAGATTTAAAAAAAATAAAGAAATAAAAAAAACCTGCAGAAAGTCAATGCAATACCCGCAATACAGGAACGTGTTGATGTTTCATTTCCTTTGTGAAGGCGTTTTTTTTATTTAATTAATAATTCTTTACATGGAAATATAGCTTCGATGGTTCATATTTAAAAGGAATTAATTAATCTTAACAGCTGTTTCAATTAAACAAGTTGGTTCTATTCTATGATGTTCAATAGCATTAAGTTACAAGGATTACCAACAGGGTGCAGCACTATTATTTTTTTCAATTTATGACAACAGCTAATTTGCAACCAAAAGGTGAGTGAGCGTAGCGAACGAACTTCAACCTAAAGGTGAGTGAGCGTAGCGAACGAGCTCCAACATAAAGGTGAGTGAACGTAGCGAACGAACTTCAAGCAGGACGTGATTGAGCCATGCAAATACTTATGAAGTTAAACGGGGCAAAGCCCGCGGGTACAGCTAGTATATATATATATATATTTTTTTTTATTTTTTTTGACATAGCAAATGATGAGAAGTTTTGTTAGTGTAAGCAGTGTGAGACATGTTTAACTACTAAACATAGCCAAAATAAGTCACTCCAAAATCATTCTAACAATAACACAAGACTGAAAAATTTATACTTGATACTTAACTAGTAATACTGTTGTTTTGGACTTATAAATTTAATATTTTTCAAAGTTGAACAGTATATACTAACTGATATCTCCATGGTTCCTATGCTGAAGAGTTATTTTTTATGTTAGGCCTTATTAATACCTATTTTTTTACTGATGTTTTTATCAATGTTTTTAAATAAAAGATTTTACATATTTTTGTCTATTATCTATCTATATATTAATAGGCAAGCATGTTTCTTTAAAACCTTTTTTCTCAGCTCGTGTGCATCGTAGGGAAAATCTACGCATACCGTTAGAAAGCTATTTTCCTGTAGGTGTGCAGAATCCCTTTATAAATTAAAATAGGCTCAAAGATAAGCACAAAAAATTAGTTTAAAAAATTTGAAAAAATTAACATGGAATTTATGGGTTGCCATGCTGGTTACGAAATAACAACGAAATATAAACAGAAAATCAAAACAAATGGAAGAAACTCAAATCACATGTTTTATTTACAGTGTGGGGAGAAAATAGAGAAGTCTGTACATTACATATTTTTGGTCGAGTTTCGACCACTGGACGACCTCTCGTTATTATTATTGTATTTAGCCAGTCTGTCATAAATCATTAAGTATTTAAAAATGTTAAAAAAATAAGGTTAAAATGTGGAACATGCATTTCCCGTTATGTATGAGAAGGGAAATCCCGTCTCGATCTCGTCTCTAAATTTTTTGAGAAATAAAAAATCCCTTCTCGTTTTGTCTCAAACTAAAAATCCAATCTCGTCCATCCTTATATTTTTGGAACATTGTCTGAACTGTAAGTATGAATGAGTGCAATAACACTGACTGTGTCATCCCATTAATTAATAGTGAGCGATTGATTTTAGTTTACTGAAAATCATATTAGTTTTGTAATGTTGTCTGAACAGTTGTTAGGACGAGCAAGTGTAATAACGCTGACAGTGTCATCCTATTAATAAATAGTGGGCCTTATGAAATAGTTTATTATATAATGGACGAGCCATTTTATATAAGACTATTATTTAGTACCTATAAATCATTGTAGTAATAGTCCAAACCACGTACGGTTTTATAATACCCCCGCCGCAGCAAACCTGCAGACTAAGCGAATTTCCATTAACCTAAATGGATTTACACTAAAATGCCTTCATAAAAATACCACATTTATTTCCTATTTAAATAGAATAAGTTTAATAAGTACTTAGGTTTGCTGCAACAGGGAGGGTAAAAAAGATTTTTTTTACAAATAGTTTAGTAAGAAATAAAAGTATTTTCCAAAATCAATCAAAATATGTTCCTAAACAAGCAAACTACAACAGCTGACTTATTCTTCATAAGAATAACATGGGAATTTTAAAATTACAATTTTTTTGAATTTTCTCCGTAACAATTAGGAGCATAATAACGCTTCAATATACTAAAATATTTGTTTTTTTAAGCTCTACAAAATGGTTTAAAAAGAAATTGTGAAATTTTGTGTTTTTAGGGTCAAAAAGTGGAAAAACCTATTTTTACCCCATAAAACCCCCCATAAACCCCCGTTCCCATAGTCCGATCATGCTGGTTCGCGAACTCGTTCAAGTTTATCCTGCCTTACACCTTTAAACCAAATTTTATCAAAATCGGACAAAAATTACTCAAGTTATCGTGCGGATGGACACACATATATATATATATATATATATATATCTCTATATATAGATATATAAAAATTTGAACGAATGGTGTTTTTGGCCTCTGGGGACATCAAAATGAAAAAGTAAATCGGTCCCGGGCTTAGGTCTTACCATGAGACCTACGGTAATAGCTACTTCCCTATAGCGAAATTCGCTAAAATTAATGTAAATAAATTATTAAGAATCCGTTTGCAGTAAATAACAATATGTTGTAGAAAAAGATAACTTCATGATAAAAATTTATCAACGGTCTCCTGCAGTTCATTATTTTACTGTATTCTATATTATTCCCCATGACAAATAGATCAAGGTGTAATATGATTGTAAAAAGGAAGTAAATTAACAAACGACAACCCTGTGATAGTGAGAGAACGACTGGGCGAAACACACTGGAAGGGGAAGTAATAGGTGACAAAAATAATAGTATTATTTCACTTATTACCGAAAAGCTATGGAAAATTACTGACACTATTACAGCAAAGTAACGGTATTTCCCAGTATAGTAACTGATGAAAGAGTGATTTCTAGTTGTTCAGTTTGTTAGATCTACAGAGTAAATACATTTTTTTAAGTTTTTTGGTCAATAATGTAATATTTTATACTATTATGTGGAATGCGTTGGCACAATAATTGAGATATAGTAGTGAAGTAGTTTTTTTTTTAACTTTGGTAGAATTTTCTAGAATATCCTGAACTCTTGTTTTGAAGGTTTTGGCAAGTTTTTTTATAGGGAAGTACCTATTACTGTAGGTCTAGTGGTAAGACCTTGACCCGGGACCGGGACCTAGATAGATAGATCCACCTTTACCAGATTTGTAGCAAGACAGTAGGCCTACAGTATGTACCTGTATAGAAGGCGCTGGTAGTCTCCTGTTAACAGTAAGGATTGCTCTCTCAAAGCCATCAGCAGTCACACACTGTGGCTTGAAACAGTCTGCTTTGACAGAGGGGCAACTGCCACAAGCCCTGGCAACACACATGTTGTTACATGAGCAATGCCATGCTAGGAATAGGTACTGTTGTTGTAATTCTGTGTACACAAACATAGCTACAAAATTTAGCTTATAAATAAAATAAAATTGTATATTAAAGTGTTTTGTACAGTGAATAGTTACAGAAAATTAAAAGAGAAAAAACTAAATTAAAAATATTTTCATGTTATTCTTATGGAGAATGAGTAAACTGTTATAGTTTGCTCATTGTTTGATAGATAGGGTAGGCTATATTTTGAACAAATCCAGTATAAGCTATATTCACATTTTACTAAAATCCCCATTTTATTACCTTACCTGCAGCAGCAAACCTAAGTACCTCTTAAGCCTAATGCAGTTTAAATAGAGATTAAATCGCTATTTAATTAGCCTACCTTACTGTAAGTCTGCAGATGTGCTGTGGCAAAGGTATTAAATTATTTTTAATTTATTTTTATTGTTTATGAGTGCATTTTACTCTATGTTTGTTGAACCAATAGACACGTACAGTAATAGTTTATAAAAATAACAAAGGCCAAGTTAATTCTTCTGAAATAATATAAAAATCAAAATTTAGACATAGGCATACCCTGCAAACATTTTATGTCTTCAGCTGATCACGATAGTGTTAAACGATTAAAGTTAGACACCTGGACCAGTGCTAAAATTGCAAATTTTAATAGGCAGGGTTTAATTCAGGCAAAATTAATAAATGCAACACGACAATTCTCTGTAACCAGCAGGTTACAGTTAAAATAAGTAGTCTATTTAAAATCCATAAATAAACTTTTTCATAAACTTTTTTCTCTTGTTAAATATGACTGTGGTTAAACGTTCAATTGATGGATGCAATTAAATGGAAACATTTAACCCATTGTAAAGAAAGTTAGTCAGCATCACTGAATCATTGAAAGCAATCTTTATGTCTACACACAGCAAATGTGCAGACTAAGCGAATTTCCATTTACTTGGTGAGATTTTCAAAAGGCTCCTATTACATAAACTAATTTGCTAAATCACATCAAACTATTTCCATAAATAAGCCAACTACAACAATTTATTATTATTTATTCTTCATAAGAACGACATGAGAATTTTAAATGTACAGTTATTTTTATTTTCTCTGTAACTGTTAGACAGGTAGCAAAGCTTCAAGGGCTTAGAAAAAAGTTTCATTTTCATTTTTTTTTTTTTTTTTTGAGGGTCAAAAATGGGAAAACCCTATTTTTACCCGATTCCCATAATCTGATCATTTAGCCTATTTCATTCTCATTCGAATAAATGTAAGTTATCTTGTTTGTACCAAATTTCATCAAATTATTATGACTTTGACTCAAGGTATCATGCTAAGATAGATGGATATATAAGGCCTATATATATGTGTGTGTGGGACAAGGTTAGGGCAACCGGGTCGCCGCAGGCAGGGGGCCGCCTGGGAAGCAGTGCCACGGCAAAAGTAGTACAAAAAAAAAAAAAAAAATTACATGTACCGGTACATAAGGTAGAGGTGTGCAAGTATCTCGATTTTTTAGTCAAGCTGAGCCTAGCTTACAAGCTTGAAGGATCAAGCACCAAGGCAGAAGATCAAGCTTGAGCCGAGCCTTTACACTCGCAATGTTTATGTCTGTGAAGATCACTCATTTGCCGCGATTGACAGCAATACAGTTTCTATGACCGTGGAAGACAACGATCAGGTTTCCGAGACCGTGGGGGATGATCAAGATTTGGCCGCAATTGCGGAGGAAGTAGATTTTATTTCGTTACCTCAGGATTTTGCCGCAAACTCGGAAGGCAATGATGATGTTTCCATGATCATGGGAGATATTTAGGATTTTACCACATTCCTAATGTGGAAGACCAACATTGATTTGATGATGATGTCTGTACGACCACAGTAGATAATCTTGATTTTACCACGATTGCGGATGATGTCCATCATGACCATGGGATAGTCTAGATTTTGCCGCGGTTGTGAAGGACAATAACTATATTTCCGTTACCAACGGAGATAATCATGTTTCTGTCCCGATTGCAGGGGACGATGGCTACCGGTACCTATTTTTATTGAACCACTTTACCTTGGCAGGACATTTAAAAATATACTATCTATTCTTAATTATTGAACTTTACAAAAAAGCACAGTCAAAGTTATCATTTTATTTTTAGAAAAAGTCAAGTTTTGGTTGTCCTTAGAGTATTTCACATTATATTTTCTTTTCTTTTCAAAAGAATAAGGTCAGGTTTTTATTTTCATTTCAAAATTCATAATGCAGTTTTGAGTTAATTTCATTGACATGACATACCCGCCCAGGACAGTGTAGGGCTCCAGATGAAACTTGTAGTAGCAGATACGAGGAGGTTCTCCCAGCTTGCACCTCCTAGCACACAGGTGAGGGTCCTCATGGTCTATGTTGTCGTACTTCCCACTGTCAATGTCATTGGGCTGAAGCTCTGCAAACAGGAGATATGTACAGTTCTCCAAAAAAACGTATCCTTATATTTTTTAGAATAAACAAAAAGCTGTAAGGGTCAAAATTACCAGAAAAAAATAATCATAAATAAGATTTTCATTGATGATTGGCGGGTTATATACCTGAGCCACCTGGACATATATCTGGAACTGTATCCACCAGACCAGATGCTGTCCAGACATATGGTGTCTCATAAGTCTGAAACAGTATGCACCAGACCAGATTCTCTCCAAACAAATGGTGTCTCATAAGTCTGAAACAGTATGCACCAGACCAGATTCTCTCCAAACAAATGGTGTCTCATAAGTCTGAAACAGTATGCGCCAGACCAGATGCTCTCCAGACACATGGTGTCTCATAAGTTGAAACAGTATGCACCAGACCAGATGCTCTCCAGACACATGGTGTCTCATGACTTCATTTTTTATGTTAGCTTTCGGATTACGTTGAATATATAAATTGTTGTAAATACAGGGTGACACATAGGAACCAGACGGTTTTTAATAGCTGTTCCATTGTTGTCGAACGATTGAGGTTATATATGTCATTACCATCAGTGAGGCATGCCATTTTTGTTTAAAACACGTTATAACTGCCACCTTGATATTCAGCCTCTTCACTGTATTGCCAAACTTTATTTTATGTAGAATTTCACTAATATTGTTTCTATTTACTTTTATGGGTTAATATATGATGTTTTGAATCATAATTATTATATTAAGGGGTGGGGGTAGTTTTTGACCGATCGGTTCGGCAGCAATACAACCATTCTATTGCTTTGTGCAGTTGGCAATACCACACTTTCCCACCTAAACTCACCACAGCCGTATAGATTGTGCCCTTTTGCTGCCCCCCCCCCCACCCAATAAGCCTTACTTAAGCAAGAACTGTTTTATGAACATTCACAAGTAGACTAAAGACACAGGAACACAAGAAGGTACCGGTAACTGTAACGTCATTGTTTTAAATGTTTTGAATCTAAGTAATACGTTTTTATTATTTTACAAATGTATTCTTTTCAGCAGTATACTTTCAGAAACGAAAAAAATATTTAAAAAATGTTTAGTTTTTGTTTATCAATTAATGTACAGAGACAATAAATAAGATTGTTCTGTAAATACTTTTTTATTTCAAACCCAGCAACAACTTTAGAATAATTTTTTTTTTTTGTTATGAACATAAAAAATAATACAAGCTATCTATCAGTATTCTTAGTAATGATATTACAGTGATACATAAAGTAAAACAAATTGTAAAACATTTTTTATTTTATTATTTTACACGAAATTGCCATTTTTCAATCGTAAGTAATGCTGAAACCATCTAAAACAACCACGCCGACCCGATAGGGTCATCACATTTTGAACATGTTGACGTTTTTGTTTGGACCATATGTAGAATCATTAGAAACTTCAATCAACACTATCTAGTAGGAACGGGTTATACTCTGCTGTTGTAGTATGCTTGATCGCCGCTAGATGTCAGTGAGGGCCATCTATCGGCCTAAAAGTGAAACCTTGCATTCCTGAGGTGTCGACCTGATCGGACCGGCGTGGCAGTTAACGTGTTAAATGGCTCAGTGGACCGTAGACCATTGCGTTTTCGCATACAATACTTTTGTCCAAAATGGTGAATTCGTCGTCACAATCCAGTGGGAACTTCGTAGACATTTTATTTTCGAATGCCATGGAACAGTTCCAATCCAAAATACATTAAAGATGGGTTTCAGGATTCCGAACAACTGGGAATATAACAAGAAGGAAACCACCAGGCCTTGTTAGAACTTCTTGAACACCCAAAAACATCACCAGAGTGAGAGCAGTATTGATAAGGATTTCAAGCAGGTCTGTGCAAAAACATGTTCAAGAGCTCAACATGAACCGCGAATCGTTTAGGAGAATTCTTCGGAAAGATCTCAAGTTTCATCCTTAAAATAGGAAGGTATGGGGGTTTAGTGAGTGGGAGAAAATTTCGCGCCGTTCCGGCCAAACCTCGCATGCGGGGTTGGTTCGGCAGATTGGCCACAACCTAAACCCCAACTCTCTTTTGTTAGCTGCGGAGAGCTACCTTCTGCCACTGGGTGTTGGTCCACCTACAGAACCAAGTGAGGGGGGCCCTAGACTAAGGTGTAATGCGATCCGTGCCAAGAGTCTTGTGGCACTGGGGGTCTAATATTCAGTGTCTTAACGGAGCCTTCTGGGAACCAGGGGTAACCCAGTCGTACACAGTGCCGGATTTACCACTAGGCCGATTAGGCCGCGGCCTAGGGCCGCAAGCAAAAGGGGGCCGCAGAGGATTGAGAAAAACATTTTTTTAGATTAAAAAAATATTTTAAACCACCAGTTTGCCGCGATCACAGGTGACCATAATGATGTCTCAGCGAACCGAGAGACCGTAACGATGTTCACGGTTTTGCCACGGCCGCGGGTGCCGGTGATGATGTACCATCGTAGTATATTTTTAATATAGTTCGATGTGATGTACCCGTGATTGCCGCCCCCGGGAGACGTTCACGATTTAGCCACGGCTGCGGGTGCCAGTGATGATGTACCATCGTAGTATATTTTTAATATACTTTGATGTGATGTACGTGGCTGTGGATGTACCCGTCATTGCGGCCCCAGGAGACATTCACGATTTAGCCGCGGCTGCGGGTGCCGGTGATGATGTACCATCGAAGTATATTTTTAATATACTTTGATGTGATGTACCCGTGATTGCGGCCCCGGGAAATGTTCACGATTTAGCCGTGGCCGCGTGTGCCGGAGATGATGTACCATCGTAGTATATTTTTAATATACTTCGATGTGATGTACCCGTGATTGCCGCCCCCGGGAGATGATAACGATTTCGCTAAAGATGTCCTGTTGATGGCTTCCCGAGGGGAATGTTTACGATTTTGGCAAGGCCGCGGGTGACAATGATAAAGTTGCTTATAATTGCAGTCCACGGGAGATGTTTTAAACACAACTTTGCCGCGATCGCAAGTGTCGAGGATGATGTCCCCATGATTGCTGCTTCGTGGGAGATGTTTACGATTTTGTCACGGTCGCGAGTGTCAATGATGATGCCCCCGTGATTGCGGCCCGCGGGAGATGTTCACGATTTTACTGCGGTCGCGGGTGACGGTGATGATGTCTTCAAGGTCACAGCTCACGAAATATGCCACGGTCGTGAGTGTTGAGGATGATGTCTCTTTGTTGCAGTCCGCGGGGGTGTTAAAGATTTTGCCGTGGTTACGGATACCTGATGGCTTTGACTTAGTTTAGGAGAAATGTCCACGATTTCATCCACAATCACGGGTGTCAATGATGAGGGGACGCGGAAAGGTCGCCCCCGGAAACATCACCCCCCTACGTCATAATGACGTCAGAGACCGGGGGGGTGATGTTTCCGGCCGCGGACACTCAATTTCAGTTGCAGCATGCACTCGTCGATAAGACGAGTTATTTTTGAGTTTGAGTATTAATTAGATAATTATATTCACTTATCATATACAATTACCAGATTTTCTAATTACAATAATTGATGTTAACCGGATACGTTAACCCCGATCGTTTTCAAAATGCACACCCCGGAAAGGTCCCCCCCTGCCATGATCACCCCCGGTATACCTGCTGTAGGGCTTGGGCTCGTGACTCGAGCCAGCTATTGTTCACAAGGGTAGAGACTGTCCCATATTACCACCGTTCGACTGAACTCGCAAGAATGGGAAGGATTTGGCATTATTACGCAAATGTTGTGGATATTAAGATAAATACAAATTAACACTTTGATATTGTGCTTTCTCTACACCTTTTCCACATTTATTTGAGAAGTTATTAATTGTATTTGAGATTAATTACTTGTATTTGAGAAAATATCAAATGTAAATGAGATTAGTCAGTTGAATTTGATCAAACAACAAATGTAGTTGAGAATAATCAATTGTATTTGAGAAAAATGATCAATTTCATTTCAGAAAAGGTGATTTGAATTTGAGAAGTTGTCAATTGTATTTGAGAAAATTATCCAAATTAAAATCAGCTGTGCTTTGTTAATTGCTATGGTTACTACAATGTTATTTGTTTACTTGCAGTGTCAGGTTTTGTTGTTGTGTTGGAAGACTTAAATGATACTTTTTTAATACTTTTCGATAATGCAAATAACCTTTTCTTAATTTGAAATGAAAGTGACCAACTGACATTTTCTGAAGTACAAGTGTAGTGTAAATTAGTTAAATATTAGATATGGAGCTCAAAAACAACTGTGGTATTTGCCAATCCAGCATGTTGAGAAAACCCGTAATAAGAATTTTGCCCTGTAGACATTTGCTACATCAGATTTGTTTGGAAAACCAGCGTGAATTGCAGGTGTTCAATGCAGAACAATGTCCTATTTGCCGTCAAGATATTGATATGGTGGAACACATAGTTAGAAAATTATACCAAAAACATTCAAACCAAGACCGGCTAAGAATTGTCTCAACTGCCAACAGAGGTGAAGATTGGGTAGCGTTAAGCTCTCAATTAAATGTCCCCTACAAAACAGCATACCGGTGGGTCAGGTCGGGAGATGATGCACCTCTACCCAAGGGGGGAAAGAAGCCGAAAGTGTTATTAGATGAAGAAATAGATGAAATTGAAACCTGGATAAAGAACGATTGTGGTCTTACATTAAAACAATTTCAAAGTAAGGTTTTGAATTATTTTCAAAAAATTGTTTCCATTGCAACAATTGGAAACTACCTTGAAGGTAGGGTAATGACTTTTAAGCAGGTCCATAAAGAACCGGTTACAATGAACTCAATCCACAACAAGGCTAGACGAGCCGACTATGTTCGTACTTTAAACGAACTTATTCAACAAGGGAAGCAAATTGTTTGGATCGATGAGACCAATTTCAATATGTTCTGTAGACGCAAAAGAGGACGAGCTAAAGCTGGAAACAGAGCAGTTCAAAAGCTACCAGCAAGCAAAGGACCTAATGTCCATTTAATTTGTGCGATTTCGGCTGCAGGCTTATTAGCTATGGATCGAAGAAGAGGGTCATTCACTAACGAATCAGCAAATGAATGGGTTGAAGAAACCTTAATGCAAAGATGGCAAGATATTGGCAATCGGCTTGAGGACCTGGTAGTTGTTGTCGACAATGCTCCGTGCCACAGCCGGCTAGAAGCAGTTCATGACGGGACTCCAGCAACGCTACTGCGGTTAGCTCCTTACTCACCAATGCTGAATCCCGTGGAAACCATATGGTCGAAGGTGAAGGCTTTCGTAAAAGCAAACCTGAGAGTTCCACAAGTTCAACCACCCGGTGTTGGAGAGCAAAGGCTCGCCTACTTAAAGAATGTGATTGATCAAGCAAAAAACACTATTGTTGACGGTGATTGTACACTAGCTGTTCAACACACTACGACCTTTCATCCTGCAGCCTTAGCAATGGAAGACATGGAAGTAGGGAAGTAAAAAGGTTGGGAGGTTTCTTAAATTGATTTAAAAGAAGATTTGCAGAGTTTAAATTGAGCCTCCGTTTTATGGCTTGTTTGTAGTGACCTTATTAATAGTGACCATTTTTAATAGTGACCTTTTTTAATAGTGACCTTTTTTAATAGTGACCTTTTTTAATAGTGACCTTTTTTAATAGTGACCTTTTTTAATTGTGACCTTTCCTCAGTGCGTACTAATTTATACTTAAAGTATACCTACATAATTTAGGGTGTATAAATTGTCAATGCATGCGTACTGTAAATACCTACTGTGATATGACGAATTATAAGAACTATTTATTTATGTTAATGTACAGAGAGTATTTATAATGTTGAGGATGTGTTATGTTGAATTTTTGTTTCTCACTATCATAAGTTCTCAAATTAATACATTTAACAATTTTTTTTTAATATTTGAGTTTTTCCTAAGTAAGCCTAAATAAATATTTTAAAAAAATAATTTTTTTTTAGAAATTATTGTAATATTAAACAGTTATTGGGTTTATCAAATTAAAGCTGCTTATCTCACGAGGAATGTGAAAGAGTATTATTATATGTATTTTTTAGAAAAATGCAGGTATTCAAAAGGTACAAAATATTCCAAAGAAATCGCCCCTATTTTGAAAAGTATTTAATACAGGAGAGCTTTGAATTTATCTATAATATGACATGCCTTGTTTTTATTTATTATTGTGAGATTCAAACCTTTGATATGATATATTCTGTATTCAAAAATCAATAAATAGCCTATATTAATGATATTGCTTGGGGTTGGTTTATGTGGAAAAAACCATTTAATCATTGTATGACAAACAGTCACTGTCCAATATCTGGAATCCTTTAGAATGCATGACCTTGCAAGATTCGTCCCCGTAGCCTATAATCATTGCCTTATAATACCAGAAAATGGTTAATTTCATATCACAATAATTGTTTTTAGTGCTTTTAGTGAATTTCCCTATAGGGAAGTAGTTATTACTGTGGGTCTCATGGTAAGACCTAGGCCCGGGACCAATTTACTTTTTCATTTTGTCCCCAATGTTTTTCTAGCATTGTACTTATTGAGAATATATTGTAAAATGTTGTATTTGGCTTGTTCATGGATATATTTTGACCAAACATGGCAGATTTTTTTAATTTTTTACTAAGCTATTAATATTTTAATTTAAAAAAAACACACTTTATTAGTTTCCCTGTAGCAGTAAACCTAGGTACTCGTTAAACACAAATGTTAATTTATTAGATTAATTGAAAATCAAACCAGGCAAATGGAAATTTGCATAGTAGGCAGGTTTGATGCAGCGAGGGTATTAATATTACATTTTATTATTTTAATATTGTAGAAATTGGCAACTTCTTCAATTGTATTTAGGAAAAATATCCATGTAAAAATCAGCTGAATTTTGAGTTTCTCATTATCAAATCACAAGTTCTCAAATACATTTAACAATTTCTTAAATAGAATTCACTGCTCTCAAATTCATTTGATGTCTTCTCAAATACAACTGACTGTTCTCAAATTTAATTTATGTTTTCTCAAATACATTTAACTAATCTCAAATACAATTGATATGTTCTCAATTAAACATAACTGTTTCTCAAATAAAACTGGAAAAGGTGTAGACATTTCCCCTTAATTTTATACATCAAATGATGTGTAAATTACATATAGTTTTTTTTTTCCGTCAACGCATGAAATGTATTTGAAACACGTGGAAATGAAATAAAATGTTTATAGTAAAAGTAAAAATTAAGTAAGGAATCAACTCGTATTAATATGAGCATGCTTCAACCACTCAACATCATAATACAGTACACACTTGACAAACATATTTTCACATTTCCTAATTCTTAAATTGTAAACATTGAGCAATAAATTATGTATAAATAATTGTCTGGATTTTATACTAAAATAAATGCATCGAGAATATTCCTGACTTGATATTGGCGAAGGACTCTTTCCCGTAAAAAGAATTTAGAAAGTAAAAATTGGTTAGTTTCTTCGGCAATAAACAGGAAAAAGCTCACAATGTTTACGTTTGCGTTGATAGAGAAGTAAGCAACCGTGTCACATTCCCTTTATTTCA